GACGGCCACGCGATGCTTTTACTCCCCGGCTGCCTCTGAAGCCTGCTCCTTCTCGGACCACTGGCCTGGCACTCACATTTGGTTAAGGAAATAGTGAAGGAAATGGCAGGCCCTGGCCAGGGGCACTTGGAGCAAGGGCTGTCTTATCTGCGCAGCCTCCCAGCGGCGAATGAGGACTGATGGGGAGGGGTCCTCCAGCTGCCCGAGGCCAGGCTGAGGCGGGTCTTACCCTCCCCCCCCCCCCCCCGGAACCTTAAGAAAAGGGTCTGGAGAGGTCTTCCCAGTACCTGACTTTTTTTAAATTTGGGTTTAGCCAAAACCGCTTTGGCTCAGAGGATAGAGCATCGGCCTGCGGACTGAAGGGTCCCAGGTTTGATTCCGGTCAAGGGCATGTACAGTGGTTGTGGGCACATCCCGAGTAGAGAATGTGCAGGAGGCAGCTGATCGATGTCTCTATCTCATCGATGTTTCTGACTCTGTGTCCGTCCCTCTCCCTTCCTCTCTGTAAAAAACCAATAAAATATGCCGAAACCGGTTTGGCTCAGTGGTAGAGCGTCGGTCTGCGGACTGAAAGGTCCCGGGTTCGATTCCGGTCAAGGGCATGTATATTGGTTGTGGGCACATCCCCAGTAGGGGTGTGCAAGAGGCAGCCAGTCGATGTTTCTCTGTCATCGACGTTTCTAACTCTCCCTCTCTCTTCCTCTCAGTAAAAAAATCAATAAAACATATTTTTAAAAATCAATAAAAAATATATTTTTAAAAAGATCTGGGTTCATCCTGCCACTTCCAGTCCTTGCACAGGCTGATCTATTCGCCTCTGGGATCCAGAGAGCAGCCGGAGCCCCTCCTTCCCTCCTTCCCTGCCCTTCCTTCCTGCCCTCCTCGGAGCTAGATGCAACTGGGCCACCAGTCGGAGTTAAATAAATGTATCTGGAACAGCGTGGCTCTCCCTGGCCTCTGGCACTCGCTCGGATATCCTCTTTTTCAGAATTCCTAGAACTCTTTTGTGCAAAGTCCTAAATAAGCAACCAGCCACCGCCAGGCACTCATTCCCCAAACCAGCTGATTACCGGAATGACCCGGAAAGTTCCAAAGGCAGATGCGTCCCAGACCCCTCAGAGGGAGCCTCAAAAACTGCATGTCAGCAAGTCCCCCAGGCGAGCATCATCGCCAGCCTGGGGGATGCCAGTTACCTCATGGGATGGATACAATTCTCTCTGCACCACAGGTCTGTTGCCAGGATCTAGCCACCGGGCCCAGAGACAGGGAACAACTCTAAAGCCGCAGGCAGGCCTGCCAGGAAGAGGGTGGCTGCTGAGCCCCACAGAGAGCCCCCAACACATCCGCCCCACCTCAGCACCCCCTCTCTCTAGCCTCGACGTGAACCAACAGGAAAACCCTCTTTAGAATGTTACCAAGCCCCAAGTGTACGGAGGAGACTGCCTGCAAGACTAAAGTGAGGGTGAGAACAAGCCAGCCTGTCTCTGGAATGCCCAACGGAGCTTTGCTTTAAAAGAAACCCTAGTTGGCCCTAACCAGGTTTGGCTCAGTGGATAGAGTGTCAGCCTGCAGACTGAAGAGTCCAGGGTTCGATTCCAGTCAATGGCACATGCCTGGGTTGCGGGCTCTATCCCCAGTAAGGGGCATGCAGGAGGCAGCCAATCAATGAATCTCTCTCATCGTTAATGTTTCTATATCTCTTTCCCTCTCCCTTCCTCTCTGAAATCAATAAAAATTTAAATAAAAGTTAAAGAGACCCTAGGAGAGCCCAGCAGGAGTAGCTCAGTGGGTTAGCATCGACCTATGAACCAGGAGGTCATGGTTCCATTTCCAATCAGGGCACATGCCCGGGTTGTGGGCTCCATCCCCAGTGAGGAGATCAGCCTTCTGTGCAGGAGGCAGCCGATCAATGCTTCTCATCATTGAGGTTTCTATCTCCCTTTCCCAAATCAACAACAATAAGCAATAAAGAACAAAGACCCTCAGGAAACACGAGGACAGGAACCAGTCACCCCATGGACAAAGCCCAGGCCCTGCGCACAGCAGTGGCCCCGTGGCACACCCTTGGCCAAGGTCCACTCCCAGGCCCTCCCTGGGGCCTTCGGAGCCCAAGCCTGTCTGCCCTCCCCCCGGCACCTCTCTGGACAGCTTTGCCTTTGCAGGCCACCTGCTGGGACCCCAGGGGCTGCTTCTCCCAGCAGCTCATCTGGCTCCTCCTCCCTTGGCCCAGCGTCCTGCATTCCAGGTGCCCAGGCTGCCCGCTCTGAGCTGAGGCCCGTTCCTCAGCAACCTTCTTTCTCAGGCAGGAGCCCCACACAAGCCCTGGAGCTCTATCCCTGTGGGATCAGCCTGATCCCTGCTGACGAGCATGGAGTCCTCCCTTCTCTGAGTCTCTGTCTCCACAAGGGAGGTGAGAACAGCTCAGAGGTCAGCACAGGGTCAGCCTTCCCTCCCAGCCCCCGCTCCTGGCTACACTTCTCTCATTCCTTAGGACCCCCGAGTGGCCACATCCTCTCTTTTTGTGGCCTTTGGTAGGGAATGGAAATCTTCAAAAACAACCTGCCTCCCCTCAAATCCCGTCCTAAAACCCCACAAAGCTGTCCGTTCCTCAGCTCCCCCTGCCTCACCACGGCGGGGTCAGAGAGGGTCAGAGGTGACTGAGAGAAGCAGAGCCAGGACGGGCGGGCAAGGTGCCACCACACTTCCTCAGTCCCAGAGGGATCCTGACTGCATCTTCCAGGTCACCTTCAGAGCTGGATCAGAAGCCCTTCAGTGAGTGTTCCGGCGGAGTGAGGCGGAGACTTATACACCAGGAAAACGCCATTCCTTCCCACTAAGAGGCTCATCCCTAGTAAACACAGGCTCTGCCTCCAGGCCAGGAGTGTGTTTATATAACAACCGAAGCCCAGGTCAGCTGGGCCCCTGCACGGGGCTCCCGCCAGGCTCAGAGCGAGCAGGGGACCGCGGAGGAGCTGTTCCCCTCCCTCCGCCAAAAAGAAGGAGGGACACTGCTTTGCAGGATCGCAGCAATATGGTTTGGCAGATGGAGTGAGGAAGGATATAGGGCAGGAATTGGAGGAGTTCTCCGGGTTTTTTTGATGCCTGCCTACAGCAGAAAAGCTGGGGAGATGGAAGTGGGGAAGCAGCGGTGAGGTGGGGAATAAAAACGGGTTCCAGGAAAGAGTTTGGGGAAGAAGGGGGAGAGAAAGAGGTGGAGGCCTTGCCAAGAAAGAACAGGGAAGCAGGGATCAGGAGAGCCGAGAGCGGATGTGCGAGGAGCAGCTGGGCCTGGTGACAATGAGCCATCGGGGCCCAGGATTCACTGGGGTAACACGGAGCTCCCAGGCAGGGCAGGAACATGGGGTACGTCCAAACCACAGTGGGGAAGTTGGTCACGGGGGAATGTGCCAGTGGTGCTGAGTTTAAGGCTGGGTGAAAACCCGAGTGTGTAAGGCCGTCGTGGCACATCACAGTGATGCAGCCCGGAGACTTCCGAGCTGGGGGCGGGGTTAATCACTGACCCAGGAAGCAGAGTGAGAGGTGGAAGCCGGATTCCTGGCTCCCCCTGCTCCGGGAGGGAGAGGCTCTATGGCTGGTCCCTCCAAGGATCTTCACCAAAAGGGGTGGGGTGGGATCCTGGAGCTGATGGGGACTCCTCTCACTTCCTCCGCAGGACACTGAAGCTGCAGGGGATGAGTGCTCTCCCTGCCCCACCCCCTTCCGCTCCCGGAGGGAAACCTGGTCACCGCCCCACACAATGCCACCTCCAGGTCCCCAGCCACAGCACTGATTCAGGCCATTTCCTTGGATCCATGTTAATGAGTTTTTTCCAGTCACCTAATTAGTTCACAATGAACTCAGCCTTGAGAGAGAAGAGGCGAGAGAGGGCAGGGGGGGAGGACAGAAGGCAGTCAGACTGGGGTGTCACCACAAAAGGCCAGGACCCCAGCTCTAAGGGGCCCTTTCCTCCCAAAGGCCCCATGCTCCTTCCCCCGCTTCAGGGAGCTCTGGAAAAGGGGGTGTTCAGAGGAGGAGCCCCAAAGCCTCACACTAAGGGGTGGAAATGGGAGTGAGCCCTGACTGCGAGGCTCCGTGGCGGCCAGGCCCTGTGCACAATTCTGCCGTCAGCAAAGCCCTCTCCCGGCATCGCCACTCAGGCCCAGCCCACCACCTGCTGGTGGGCGTTCCCCTTGGAATGGAACCTGAGGAGGAAGCAGATGGCCCAGGGCGAGGCCATCTGCCCGTTGGGCACCCAAAGGTCACCGTGCCACCGGAGTGCCTGCGGCGGGCGGAGCGGCCCCACCGCGCCAGGGGCGAGGGCCGTCTGCCGGCAGCTCACACCTCCGCTCCTGCCCCGGGAGACGGGTGCTGGGCGGGGGGCAGGGGGTTCAGTCCCTGACACCCGGCGACGCGTCCCTGGAAGTTGGTCAGTGACCCACAGAGGCTCCTGGAACCCCGCGGCGGGTCCGGCGAAGGCGCGATGGACAGGCCGGCGCCTCCCACGCGGTCGCGGCGCCCAAGCCCGAGTCAGACCCGGCCCCGGGCCGGCGGCCTGCGGGAGGGCGCGCCGCAGCCAGCGCCACGCGCCCGCCTGCGGGCCCCGGGCCCGGGAGGCTAACGGCCACCCCGAGCTAGGTCCCCGGCCCCGCCGCGGGCAGAGCCCGGACAGCCGAGCCGCCGCCGAGGCCCGCCCGGCGCCCACCCTCCCGCGCGCCCGACCCCCCACTCCCGGAACCTCCACGGCTCCGAGCGCCCGGCCCCCGGAGAGACACTCTCTTCGAGCCCAGGAGCACTAAACGCGGAAAATGCAGGCCCCGGCCCGGGACCGGCCCCTGCCCCAGTGTCCCCAGACCAGACATGGCGAAGCCCGGCCGCCCGCACCGCAGCGCCGCATTCAACACGCCGCGTGGCCCGGCCCCGGGCGCACGAGGACCCCCGACGGGAGAGACGGCGCGCCGGGCCCGCAGAGCCCGGGGGCCCCCGCGCCCGGCCCCGCTCACCCTCGATGGAGATGACGTGCTCCCGGATCTGGTTCTGCAGCGCCAGGTCCTCCATGCGCTCGATCAGGTCGTAGATGGCGTAGATGTTGGGATGCACGGACTCGAAGCGCTGGATCTCGGCCCGGATGGCCGCCGAGTTGGAGAGCGCGAACTGCTGCGGGGGGCCGCCCGCGAGCTGCTGCGACGGGCCGCCGCCGCCCCCGGAGCCCGGGCCCCCGCCGCCGCCGCCGCCGCCGCCCGGCGCCGCCAGGCTGGGCTGCTGCTGCGGGCTCTGGCCCCCGCCCGCCTGGAAGTTCATGGCTCCGGAGCCGCGGGGCCCGAGGCGGGCCGGGCCGAGGCCGGGGCGGCGCGGCGGCGGCGGCGGCGGCGGGCGGGCGCGCGGGGCTGGCGGGGCCGGGACTGCGGGGCCGGCGGCGCGGGGCTAGTGCATGGGGCCGGGGCCGCGGGCCTGGGCCGGGAGGCGCCGCCGCGCACGCTGGGGCCGCCGCCGGGCGCTTCCCGCCGCCGCGATCCCGCCGCCTCGGAGCAGCCTCCAGCGGCGACAACAACGGCCGCGGGAGCGCGCTCCGGGCCCTCCCCCCGCGTCATGCGCACGCACCGCCGCCCCCGCGGCTCCGCGCGCAGCCGAGCCCCCTCCCCGCGCCCCCGCCCCTCGCGCCGGCCCCCGCCCCTCGCCGCGGGCTCCGCAGCCTCCACCCGAGCCGCTCCGGCCGGCGCTGCGCCCCGCCCACCCGCCCAGCCCTTCCGCCTGCTCTCCGCCCCGCACCGCCGGGGACCACCGCCGGGGGCTGCGGCCTGGGCCTCCTCCGGCCGCTGACACTTCGCCTTCCCGCGCAGGTCTGGGCGGGGTGCCCTGTCTCTGGGCAATGCCAAACGGTGCCCTGCGCCCGAGGGTGCTGATGAGCACGGCTGATTGGGAGAAGAGGGCCGCTGGCCCCGGCCCCGCTGCGCCTTCCTCACCGCGTCCGGCCTTCCCTGCGGCACAGGCCCCCCTGTCCCTGGCCTGAGGTCGCCCCTGGGGCCTTCCCCTCCCTCGGGTTCTCTCTCTAGCCCTCCCCTGGACGCCCCACTGCCAGCTGCAGCTCAGAGGCTGAAATTCTATTTTCAGTTCTGAGAGCTCTGTTGGGGGGGAAGGGGGGACTTGGAAGTGATACTTTGAACAATAACCCCCCTCTCCTATCTTCCCTCTTAACCTTAAAGACCCCTCTGCGGAAGCCCGCAGGTATACAGAAGAGGGAGGGTTTGCCCTGGGGGTGGGAGTGCGGGGGGCGGGGGGGGGGGTGGTAAGGAGACGTGTAATACTTGAAACGACAAAAAGGAAGAAGCCCTAGCCAGTTAGGTTGGATTCCGGCCAAGGACACATCCCGCTGTATGGAGCGTGCGGGAGGCAGCCAATCGGTGATTCTCTCTCATCATTGATGTTTCTGTCTCTCTCTCCTTCTTCTCTGAAATCAATAAAAATATATATTTTTAAAAAGAAGAGGGAGGAGCCGAAATCGGTTTGGCTCAGTGGTAGAGCGTCGGTCTGTGGACTGAAAGGTCCCAGATTCGATTCCAGTCAAGGGCATATATCTTGGTTGTGGACACATCCCCAGTGGTGGGTGTGCAGGAGGCAGCTAGCCGATGTTTCTCTCTCATCGATGTTTCTAGCTCTCTATCCCTCTCTCTTCCTCTCTGTAAAAAAATCAATAAAATATATTTTTAAAAAAGAAGAGGGGGGAATCAAATATATCTCTTCTTCCCCAACTCACCCCATTCAAGAGACAGCAGAGCCCACATGACTGTCTTAATGTTTTTTGCATTAACCCATTCGTCCACCCTGCCTTCATGTCCACTCCTCTGGGGCCAGGGAGCTTCCTTCACTGACCCAGTCCTCTGCATTCCCATTGCCAAAGCTGTCTGCAATTCTAGCCACCGCTCTCACCACCCTTTCTTCAAACCCGCAGAGGCGGCATGTCCAAGCACTGGCCCAGCCCCTCAGCACAGGGCTGCCCATGTCTTCTGGCACAGTTGACATGTGTCATCCTTTTTATTTTTTAAATTTATTTTTATTGTTGAACTAAATGGCATCCTTTTTAAAAAAAATATATTGTTAAAAATATATATATTGTTGAAAGTATTACATATGTCTCCTCCCCACCCCCACCCCCTATTGACCTCTTCTAGCCCACCCCCGCTCCCCACCCCAGGCCTCCACCACACTATTGTGTGTGTCCATGCCTATATATATACAAGTCCTTTGGTTGATCTCTTCCCATCTACCCCGCTTCCTTCTGAGATTCCAAAATATGTTCTATGCTTCTGTGTCTCTGGATCTATTTTGTTCCATCAGTTTATTAGATTCTACCTGAGTAAGATCATGTGACACTTGTCTTTCTCTGACTGGCTTCTTTCACTTACCATAATGCTCTCTAGGTCCCTCCATACGTCTCAAAGGGCAAGAGTTCTTTCTTTTTTACTGCTGCAGAGTGTTCCATGGTGTAAATGTACCACAGCTTTTTTATCCACTCATCTGCTGACGGGCACTCAGGCTGTTTCCAGATCTTAGCTATTGTAAATTGAGCTTCTGTGAACATAGGGGTGCAAACATTCTTTCTGATTGGTGTTTTGAGTTTCTTAGAATATATTCTTAGAAGTGGGATCACTGGGTCAAATGGCAGCTCCATATTTAATTTTTTAAGGAAACTCCACACTGTTTTCCATAGTGGCTGTACCAGTCTGTCATCCTTTTTAAACACACTTCCACTTCCCAGGCTAAGACCAGCATAAAGTTCTCTCCCATTTGGCTCTCCACACAACTACCAACCAAGTCACCATTCCTAAGTTTCTCAGACCTTCCAAAGAATGAGATACAAGCTAATCAACACTGGAGGCTTCCCCACCTCCCACCTCCCGAGAGATGTGGACCCATCTACCTGTTTGACATTCAGGATGTCATTCCTCTCTGGGCTTCATCTGCAAAATACAGTGGTTGATCAGAACACCTAGCTCTGATGCTCTGTAATTCTATAAAATATATTTTATTGATTTTTTTTGTACAGAGAGGAAGGGAGAGAGATAGAGAGTTAGAAACATCGATGAGAGAGAGTCATTGATCAGCTGCCTCTTGCACACCCCCTACTGGGGATGTGCCCGCAACCAAGGTACATATCCTTGACCGGAATGGAACCCAGGACCCTTCAGTCCCCAAGCCGACGCTCTATCCATTGAGCCAAACCGGTCTCAATGATGCTCTGTAATTCTAAAAGCTTCTGTCTTAGAGCTTAATTAGAATCCGCAGCAAGAAGTTGCTACCAGGTACCTCCCCGGAGAGATGCTGAGGCTATAGAGCTTCCGGAATTTGTTGCCCAGCAGCCAGCACACACCTATTCTTGCACTGTTGTGCTATCTACATGTGTGTCCCCTAGTAGCATATGAACCCCATAAGGGCAGGGACAGCATCTTGCACATGTCTGGCATATAGTATATATTTAATAGGTGTTTGTAGAACAAATGGGAACTAGAGATAAATAGGTTCTCTATGTTCTAAATCTAAAGTAACATTCTTTTTTTAAAATATATTTTATAGATTTTTTACAAAGAGGAAGGGAGAGAGAGAGCTAGAAACATCGATGAGAGAGAAACATCGACCAGCTGCCTCTTACACACCCCTTACCGGGGACACACCCGCAACCAATGTACATGCCCTTGACCGGAATCGAACCCGGGACCTTTCAGTCCACAGACCAACGCTCTACCACTGAGCCAAACCAGTTTTGGCTAAAGAAACATTCTTGGCCCTGGCCAAGTAGCTCAGTTGGTTGGAGCATTGTCCCAATATGCCAGGTTGTGGGACCCACCCATGTGCGGGGTTGGGTGGATTGGTCCTGGTGCCCTCAGGGCACTACCAGAATCAATGGTAATGGTAATGGATTCATAAATAAAGTGGAACAACAAATGGATGCTGCTCCCTTCTCTCTCTCTAAAATCAATAAGTGGAGAATATATTTGTATATTTTCAGAAAACAACTCCGAGACCATGTGGATTCCCAGCAACACAGAAAATTGACAGGACTACTCCAACCATGAAGACAGAAGAGAAGCAGTCCAGAGATGAAAGACAGCTTGCCATAATAACAGTCAGCAGCTGTGTACCACTGCAGGTTGCCCAGGACCAAACCAGAGAGGGTTGGACTTGCATTACCACCATTTGCCACCATCAGAACTGAAATATCATTGCTGACATGTACACATAAGGAACTGTTTAACATTGAAATTGGGTCTCAAAAGAACTGTTGGCCCAGAAAGAAACTCACTACAGACTGATTCATTTGCCTTTAAGCATAACCATTATTGCTTGTCTCGTTTTCAATTCTTATAAGTATATTTCCAGTAGGACAAGATCTCACTTATCTAGGGGAAATGGTGAACAACATAGACTGATAAACAAGAACAGACCCAGAGATAAGGAGCCATGGGTCTGACTGTTGGACCTCAAAGGGAGGGTGGGGATAAAAAGAAGAGATCAACTAAAGGACTTGTGTGCATACATATGAGCCTAACCAGAGGTCAAGGACAATAGGGGGGTGGGGGCAGGAGTGGGGAAAGATGGGGATTGGAATGGGGAGTTGAGGACAAATATGTGATACCTTAATCAATAAAGAAATTAAAAAAATAAAATCTAAAAATTTTTTAAATATATTTTTATTGATTTCAGAGAGGAAGGGTGAGGGAGAGAGAGATAGAAATATAAATGACAAGAGACAATCACTGACTGGCTGCCTCCTGCACACCCCCCACTGAGGATCAAGCCTGCAACCCAGGCATCTGCCCTTGACTGGAATTGAACCCGGGACCCTTCAGTCTGCAGGCAGACGCTCCATCCACTGAGCCAAACCAACTAGGGCTAAAAAAAGTTTTTAAAATAAAATAAACTGACATTCTTTTTTTTCTGGTAAGTTGTATTGAGGTGTTTTTCTTGGTGGTTTTTTTTTTTTATATGATATTCTTTTTAAAAATATTTTGTATTGATTTTAGAGTGGAAAGGACAGGGAAAAAGAAATAAAAACATCAATGATGCTGCTGAAACCGATTTGGCTCAGTGGATAGAACGTCAGTCTGCGAACTAAAGGGTCACAGGTTTGGTTCCGGTTAAGGGCAGGTACTTTGGTTTTGGGCACATCCCCAGTAGGGAATGTGCAGGAGGCAGCTGGTCAATGTTCCTCTCTCATCAATGTTTCTCTCTAATTGATGTTTCTAGCTCTCTGTCCCTCTTCCTTCCTCTCTGTAAAAAATCAATAAAAAATATATTTTTTAAAATATATCAATGGCCGAAACCGGTTTGGCTCAGTGGATAGAGCATTGGCTTGTGGACTGAAAGGTCCAGGGTTCGATTCCGGTCAAGGGCATGTACCTTGGTTGCGGGCACATCCCCAGTTTCTCTCTCATAGATGTTTCTAACTCTCTATCCCTCTCTTTTCCTCTCTGTAAAAAAAAAAATCAATAAAATATATTTAAAAAATATATATATATCAATGATGAGAATCATTGATCAGCCACCTCCTGCACACACCCTACCGGGGATTGAGCCCACAACCCAGGCATGTGCTCTGACAGGGTATCTGTGGATGACCTCCTGGTTCATATGTCAATGTTCAAACACTGAAGCCACACCAGCTGGACTAAACTGACTTCTAAAGGCAACACTTGGGAGTACTGCCCCCACAAATAGGCATGTGCCATGGGAACGTGAGGGTGTAATACTTTTTAATCAGGACTGGCCTATAAAATCCAGGGTGTGGGATCTCTGTGGCCATAGGAGCCGAGGAAGGAGGAAAAACCCACAGAAATTAGCTGGCCTGGGCCAGGCTGGGGATCAAATCGGCATAAGCTGCACGGCAACATGCTGAGGGTCCATTCCAAGCCCAGATTTGAGTAGAGGGAGTGTACTAATACCAGTTGAGCAAATATCTACGATGTGACAGATCCCTTATACAGTTTCCACATTTATTTATCAAAACATGGAATTTCTTCCTTACAATTGCCTTATGAAAGAGGTCATAGAAATCAAGAAATTTAGGTTAAAAGATTCAATAAGGAACCTAAAGTCCATTAGGGGATAAGGGATCAGCATTGTGTCAGGTTCCAAAGTCCACGCTTGGTTCCCAGTCTTGCAAGGGCAAGGCGGAAAGGGGGAAGAGGGGACCAGGGAAACAGGACAGCCCCACCGGCCTGGGATGCATACTCAGCCAGACTGGTGCGGAGCCCACGGTTACTAGGCTCTGGGCCGGAGAGTCAATGGGGGGGAGCAAGGTGCCTTCTGGCGTTCACCTGACTTAAGAGTAGAATGAGCCACCTGAGTTCACCAGAGCCTGCACCTCCAAACACGGGAGCTCTGACATGCTCCTGCTGACGTTGGTTTGTGCAGTGGCAGATGCCCTGGATGCTGGGGGGAGGAGAGTGGATCCTGCTGCGCCCAGACCCCTGGGGGCTCTCACAACTCCCAAACCTGCCCTGCCCTCCCCTCTGCAACCTGCGGGCGTCGGAACCAGTCGGCCCAGCCCCGCTGGGAGGCCCGCAGGGAGGAGGCGGGACTTCGCGCGGCCAGGACTACAAGTCCCACAATGCCCCGGCTAGCGGCGGCGGAGGAGGGGGTGGGGGTGTCTCCAGGTGTCCGCGACCTCGGCGCCTCCGCCCGGAAGTGGCCTGGGGTCCGCTATGGAGCCGGCGGCGCCGGGCGGTGAGTCCCCGGGCCGCGCCCGCGCCCACCCCGCCTCCCCGGGCTCCCGCCGCCCCCCGCCCCCCATCCCGGAACCGCCGTGCCCTCCCCGCCCGGGGTGCTGGGGGCGACGGGGTAGTTGGGGATGGGGAGGGCGAAGCCCCGGGCCCCCAGCTGGATGTGGGGTCCGCCGGGGGCTGGGCTCGGGAAGGCTGTCGGGGCGCCGCAGGGTGCGGCCGCGCTGGGAGCGGGTGGCCGCCTCCGAGGCTCCGGAATGCGGGGGGCGGGGTCTGCCTCGGCGCGGGGAACCCCGGGGAAGCCGTCCGCGTGGTGGGTGGGGTGTGGGTACCTGGCGAGAGGGCGGCGGCGTGGAGGTCCCTTTCCTTCCCCCTTGGAGCAACTTTGGCAACAGAGCGGGAGCTAAGCTTTGGGGTAGATACGCGGCTCTGGGTGAAATTGGCGAAGGAACAGATGTTGAGATGAAACAGAGGGAAGGATAGGTAAGATTTAGGGTGAAGTTGGGTGGGAGTTGAATTTTGGGGAGAGGTGGCTGGGAAGGCACCTTATCTCCGGATAGTGTTTGGGTGAACTTGGGAGCCGGTTAAAGACCTAGAGCTCAGTTACAAAAGTTAGGGCTTGGAATTTGGTGATGGGAAGGGGCATGTGAAGCAAGTTTGGGGCAACCGGGAGTCCAGACCGTCGATGCCCGGGGCTGGGGCTGGGGCGAGGGGACAGTGAGGACGGTGGGAAGATGGGGTGGGATGGGGTGAGGAGCCTTCTGAAGTTCAGAGAGCCGCTGGCCCCGTGAGCCAGCCCCTCAACCCCTTATGGGTTCTTTGTGCCTCTCCAGCTCAGTAGCGCTGCGGGCACGGCGGGTGCCATGGCCCTGATTGAAGGGGTGGGTGATGAGGTGACTGTCCTTTTCGCGGTGCTTGCCTGCCTTCTGGTGCTGGCTCTCGCCTGGGTCTCCACGCACACCTCGGAGAGCGCTGACCCGCTGCCCCAGCCGTCAGGGACCCCGACACCAGCGCAGCCCAGCGGAGCCATGGTGGTCACCGACGCTGTCAGAGGGGAGGCCCCGGGAGCCGAGACCCCCAGCCTGAGGCACAGAGGTCAGGCTGCACAGCCAGAGCCTGGCACGGGGCTCCCAGCAGCCACACCCCCGCCAGACTCCCCGCAGGAGCCTCTAGTACTCCGGCTGAAGTTCCTCAACGATTCAGAGCAGGTGGCCAGGGCCTGGCCCCACGACACCATCGGCTCCCTGAAAAGGTAAGCTGGGATGGATGAGGAAAGGAACAGGTGCGAGGGAGTGGGTGGGAGTGACATGGACCTAGAAGGGCACCAGAGACCCTGGAGACTCCCCCATGTTTTTTGTTTGTTTGTTTTTTAAATATAGTTTTTATTGATTTTTTAGAGTGGAAGGGAGAGAGATAGTTAGAAACATTGATCAGCTGCCTCCTGCACACCCCCCACCAGGGATGTGCCCGCAACCAAGGCACATGCCCCTGACTGGAATCGAACCTGGGACCCTTCAGTCCGCAGGCCGATGCTCTATCCATTGAGCCAAACTGGTTTCGGCTCCCCCGTGTTTTATGGATGAGGGGACCCAGATGCCCAAACCACACATGTACCATTCCCCTGTAGAGGCTGGGTCTCCCTCGGGCGCCATGGCCCCGGTGGTGGTGGGGTGGAGGCCAGAGGGAAGGGTGGGAGCATTATTCTGGGCAAGGGACTAGGATTGCCTGAGGCCTGCTCTATTACCCAGGTCCCTCTCTCCTCAGGACCCAGTTTCCCGGCCGGGAGCAGCAGGTGCGACTCATCTACCAAGGACAGCTGCTGGGAGACGACACCCAGACCCTGGGCAGCCTTCACCTCCCCCCCAACTGCGTTCTCCACTGCCACGTGTCCACACGGGTCGGTCCCCCACACCCCCCCTGCCCGCCGGGGTCAGAGCCAGGCCCCTCCGGGCTGGAGATAGGCAGCCTGCTGCTCCCCCTGCTGCTCCTGCTGCTGCTGCTGCTCTGGTACTGCCAGATCCAGTACCGGCCCTTCTTTCCCCTGACAGCCACGCTGGGGCTGGCCGGCTTCACCCTCATCCTCAGCTTCCTGGCTTTTGCCATGTACCGCCCGTAGTGCCTCCACGGGCTCTGGGCAGTGTGGCCGGCCCCTCAGGACCTTGGTCCCCACCGCGCCGTGGGAGCTGCTGTCTGCCCAGGCCCACCTCTCTGGCCTGTCTCTTCCCCCTGCCCCGGAGCCCAGCCCTGCGCCGCCGCAGAGCCCTCCAGGGGCAGGAGGCCCCGCTCTGTGACCTCCGCGGCTCTGAGCCACCGTCGGGGGCTGCAGGCTCTCGGCCACCACTGATCGAGGGCTCCTCCGGGTCAGCCGGCTGCTGTCGCTGCCTTGGCCCTGGGCAGAGCGGGGCCACACCGCCGGGCCTGGCCTAGTGTTCTGCCCCAAGACCCGGCCACCTCCAGTCCCTAATGCTCCTAGTGCTGATGTGGGACGCAGGGACCCTGGGGGGTGGGCCGGGCCGAGGGGCGATCTGGAACTTGTGCTGATTAAATAACTGTGAAGTTTTCACTCTCGGTGTGTGTCTGCGCGTGTGGACCCGCGGGGGCGGGCGCCCTTGCCCACTGGGAGGAGAGCAGTGAGGGCGCGGCCCGGGCCCTCCGCCCCCAGCCCTCCCAGGCCCGCCGGCGTCCTCCCTCCCGCCGCCCGGGGCGGGCCCGGCCCCGCCCCCGCGCCGCCTGCGCCGCTGCCCGGAAGCGGGGGGCGGGGCCGGCGCGCAGCGCCTGACGGGAGCCACGTCTCCGCTGGCCGAGGCCTGAGCGGCGATTGGCGTCCGGGGGCTGCTGGGAAGATGGCGGGCTCGGAGGCCGGTCGATGAGGAGGCCGCGGGGGGACCTCGGCTCCCGGCCCCCAAGACCGACTGAGGGAGCGACCTGCGCGGGGCCTGGGGAGCCATGTAGGGGCGGCGCCTGCGGGGCGGGCCGCGGGGGGCTGCGGGAGCTGGTGTCGGCGACCGTGACCGGGTCTCTCGGGGGTCCCCGGCCCGGGTGGGTGTGGGGGCCCCTGACACCGGCGCCTCCGCAAACCTGTGCACTCGGGCGCCACGGGCATCCCCCGAGGCGGGCGCTGCGCCCTCGGTTCACAGGCGAGAAGGCTTAGGCAGAGACGAAGCCGCTGGCCCAAGGTCACGCAGCTGGTAAGTGGGAGCACCCAGCGTGGAACCCAGGACCGTCCGGCTGCGGAGCCCGCGTTCCACCTTCTGCGCCGCCGCCGCCTCCTGCGGGCGGGGGAGGTGGTCTGGAGGGCCTATCGCGGGGCGATCTGGGCTCCAGGCTGGGCGAACCCACTAACCAGATCCCTGACCCTGGGCTTGGCTTAACCCCTTCTCTGGGTCTCGGTTTCTCCACCTGTGAAATCGAGGGAATGCCAGTCTTGCCTACCGCCCCATGGGCGTGTAAGGAGGCAGAGAAGAGAATGCATGTGGAATTGCTTTGTAAATATCCCTCCGCTGAGAACACAAAAGGAATGTGATTGCTGTTCCCAAGGATGGAAGGAGGCAAAGGGAGAGGGGCGGGTGGGGAAGAGGACCAGGCAGTCACAAAGAAGGCTGAGCATGACTCTGGTTTGCTCTGACCCTAGAGCCCTCTGAATGGGGAGTGAGGTGAGGCGTAGATAGCAGGCTTTTCTCCCCTTTGGAGAAAACCTCACCCCCTTTTCTGGGCCGCCCTCAGGGTCTCCATCACCCAACTCCATGCTTCGAGTCCTGCTTGCTGCCCAGGCCTCTGCTGCTCAGCTGACTGGCCTGCTGCTGTTCCCACCAATACAGCCCTTCTGTCTGGGGCCCAGCAAGTGGGGGGACCGGCCTCCTGGAGGAGGCCCCCACGCAGGTCCTGTGCAGGGGCTGCAGCGGCTCCTGGAACAGGCGAGGAGCCCTGGGGAGCTGGTGCGCTGGCTGGGCCAGAACCCTACCAAGGTGCACGCCCACCACTACCCAGTGGCGCTGCGTCGGCTGGGCCAGCTCTTGGGGTCTCAGCCACGGCCCCCGCCAGTGGAGCAGACCTCACTGCAGGACTTGAGTCAGCTCATCATCCGAAACTGCCCCTCCTTTGACATTCACACCATCCACGTGTGTCTGCACCTCGCAGTCTTACTTGGTGAGGAGGGTTGCCTGGGGGTGGGTGTTAATGAAAGAGAAGAGAAGAGCAGTAGAGGACCCAAGGTCACGGACAGAATTCACCTCTTAGGCTTGCCAGAATAGCCACACCGACCCACTGTGGCTCTCCCTCTTGGGCATCGGAGCCAGCAGCGTTTGCTGCAGCCTTAGGGTGCAGCCTCAGATCCCTCTGCCATGGTGCTCCAGGAGCCCCCACCGTTTGTCACCAATAGAACGAGATGAGAACATATTTGCCACTTTTGTATAGAAAGCCTTCCCCACAAGCTGTTCTGATCCCTTAGTTCACATGGTATGCCACATTTCTCCAGTGTTTCCACTTACACTATAGCAAACCTTCCAGCCCAGGAAGCAGAGGTGAGAGAGGTAGGGGCTCCACTAACAACCCCAGGACTGGAGCAAAGCAGAGCAGCTCCCTCACCAGGACTGCCTCTCTGACCCTTTCCCTCTCAGGCTTCCCGTCAGATGCGCCCCTGGTGTGTGTCCTGGAGCGGGAGCGGAGGGCCCGCCTCCCCCCGAAGCCGCCTCCCCCCCTGCAACCTGTCCTTCGTGGTGGGCAGAGGTTGGAAGCTGCGCTAAGCTGCCCTCACTTTCAGCGGCATCCACAGCAGCACCTCATCCGGAGTTTGGCAGGTGCCCGAGGGGTTTAAAGGCAGGTTGGGGGTCAGGGGCCAAGGGAGAGGCAGGTGGTGGGGTCTGGGCCAAGGTGGACACTAGTCTGAAGGTCTGGCCCGAGGGTCCAGTGTGATAGGCTGTTCTTCGCAGAGGCCAGGCCAGAGGAACTGACTCCCCACGTGATGGTGCTCCTGGCCCAGCACCTGGCCCGACACCGGCTGCGGGAGCCCCAGCTTCTGGAAGCCATTGCTCGTTTCCTGGTGGTCCAGGAAGCCCAGCTCAGCAGCAAGGTGGGACTGCCTCCCATGCTTCCCAGACACCCTGCCAGGCCCCGCCCCCGTCCAGCTTGATTGGCTGCTGTCCTATAGCAAACAACCAGGCCACGCCCTAACCCCAGGGCTCCATCTTGCCTCTCCTCCTCCTTGGCTTCACCTCCCCACACGTACAGTCCTCCAAGCACTCAGCACCGTCTTCACTGATCCCACTCCTCTAGGCCTGCAGGGCCAGGCCCATAGCAATGTCTCCTCCACCTGTTTGGTGATTGATTGCATGGGACACTGCTTATGCCACAGACTTCTGGTGTCTGTCAGGCAGAGGGGTGGCTCTGCCCTTGCAGTGACGATCTAAACGTGCAGATCAAGCCTCCTGGAGGCTCACCTTGTCCAGGGTTCTGGAGAATGTTCCATGCCGGTGATGGCTACTCTCCCTCTACAGGTGGTACAGAAGCTGGTCCTGCCCTTTGGGCGGCTGAACTACTTCCCCCGGGAACAGCAGTTTATGCCCTGCCTTGAAAGGATCCTGGCTCGAGAAGCAGGGATGGCCCCCCTGGCCACTGTCAACATCTTGATGTCACTGTGCCAGCTTCGGTGCCTGCCCTTCCGAGCCCTGCAGTTTGTCTTTTCCCCGGGTTTCATCAACCACATCAACGGTGTGCAGACAGGGAGGCTGGCTGGGACCTGGAGGGCTGGCGGGCAGGGGGGAGGGGGTGGAGTCTGCAGCCCAGCAAACCTCAGTCCCCTTCCTGCAGGCACCCCTCACGCCCTGATTGTGCGGCGCTACCTCTCCCTGCTGGACACGGCTGTGGAGCTGGAACTCCCAGGGTACCAGGGTCCCCGCCTTCCCCGAAAGCAGAAAGTGCCCATCTTCCCCCAGCCGCTCACCACCGACCGCGCTCGCCGCAAGTACAGGTGGATGGGCAGCTGGGGAGGCGGAGGGGCCAGCCCAGAGGAGCAGGGTAGAAAGGCCAGGGAACTGGGACCTTTTTAGGCCGATACTCATAGTCAAATAAATGGGCCTTGAAGCAACAAAGGCACTTGCCTAGGGTCCCAGAGCTGGGGGCGGGGTCACACCAGACCCCTGGGCCTTCCTGCTATCGTGTTCCACTCCCCTCAGCCACAAGGACATAGTGGCGGAGGGGCTGCGCCAGTTGCTGGGGGAGGAGAAATACCGCCAAGACCTGACCGTGCCTCCCGGTTACTGCACAGGTGAGCTCCAGGTGTGCGGGCAGGCAGCAGGCTGACGTGGGGCTGTGGCTAAAAACCAGCGGCCCTTTCTCTTCTCCCACCTTACAGACTTCCTGCTGTGTGTCAGCAGCTCCGGTGCTGTGCTTCCTGTGAGGACCCAGGACCCGTTCTTACCTTATCCTCCCAGGCCCTGTCCCCAGGCCCGGGCTGCCTCTCAGCCCACTACCCAAGACCCTGCCCAGAGGTAAGGGAAAAGGCAGGAGGGCCTCCCCCGCCTTTGTGGGCAGCGACCCTGAGCCACAGTCCACTCTCTCTCAGGGTGGTGCTGATGCTGCAGGAACGCTGGCACTTCTGCCGGGACAGCAGGGTGCTGCTGGGCTCCCGGGCCCTGCGGGAGCGGCACCTGGGCCTGCTGGGCTACCAGCTTCTGCCGGTGAGCCTGCCCCGCCCCGCCCCACCCCGCCCCTGGTGATTCTTTGTCCACTCCCGCACCCACAGGGCCTGCGGATAACCTGCTGCCTCTCCCCACAGCTACCCTTTGAGGAACTGGAGTCACAGAGAGGCCTGCATCAGCTCAAGAGCTACCTGAGACAGAAGCTGCAAACCCTGGGCCTCCGCTGGGGCCCTGAAGGGGGGTGAGGGGATGCACGTGGGCTTCAGGATGCTCCCCTATGGGGGGTGGACAGTTTGCACTTTGGCTCTCCCTGTTTTTATTCATTAAAGTCCCTTCCTCCTCCATTGCACATCTTGTTTCTGGGATGGGGGGCAGACTGGGTCTCCCCACTACTTTTCCATCCACGCCCCCCCCCACCCCTCATACAGAGACAGAGGCCACGGATAGGTGGGGGCCGAAGCACTTTACTGTGGGGGCAGGGAAGGAGGAGAGGAACAGGGAGGGAAGGAGAGGAAGGGGCTTTAAATTAATCACTTAAATAAAAATGAGGAGGGAAGGGGGTGGGAGAGCATGCCTAGCCCCGGTTCCCTCTGTCCATCGTCCGTCCCGGCAGCAGCTACACAGGCATGGGCATCTCGTTGTACTCGTCCACACCCTCCCGCTCATCGAACACGGGCTCCGCCTCGTTGGCGTCCAGCTGCAGGGGAGAATGGAGTCAGGAGGGCTGACCCCAGCCAGGACCCTGGCAGGGACCAGAGAGGGGGCTCGGGGCAGGAGGGCAGCGGCCTTACACATTTCATCTCCCGGTCGGTGAAGATGCGGGTGAGCACCACCATGCGCAGAGGCACCGTGAGGATGAGGATGAAGGGGAAGGCCAGCGAGGCCTCCGTGGACATGACGGCCCACAGCAGGGCCAGGCAGAGCAGCTGCAGGGCTGTGAACAGGTGCATACGGAGGGTCCGGACCTGCGGGGGGCAGGGTGGGATGAGACGGGGGAGCCCCAGCCAAGGGACGCCAGGTCCTGCCACATCCAGGGGAAGGCTGACCCCTTTCCTCTCCACAGGGCGGAGACAGAAGTGCCTTCTTGGGTGCACACAGAGCCCAGTCTGCACAGACCGAATGGTGGCTGGCCAGAGTGGGCAGATGGGGGCTGGAGGGTGACCCACGCAGCCCTCAGATTGGGGGTCTCACCTTCTTCACGTAGGTGACATCTGGGTGGTGTTTGGGCGGCATGAGCAGCAGGTGCAGCCGCTCATAGAACTGGATCCCGTTGAGGGAGGTAACTCCCATGTATAGGAAGATCCCGAAGAGCACGGCCAGGGGTATCTGCCGGAGGAGGTCCCCGATGACCATGGAGAGGCCTGGGAGGAGGGGGAGAAACAGTTGTCCCCAGGGCTCCACCCTCAGACCCGGGGGCCCCTCCAGGACAGGCAGGGGCAGAGGTGAACATACCCACAAGCAGGGCAACCAGCAGCCCTGTCACCCGCTGCTCCTTGACCTCTTGGATCTTGGGCTTGTCCCCGGGAGCCACAGCCTTGCTCATGACGGTCAGCGCGTTGGCATGAGTGACAGAGCGGACGGTGGCGGCGGCCAGCCAGGGCAGGCCGAAGACGGCGCAGATGCCGCCCATGGCCACGATGAGCAGCAGGTCCAGGTGGAAGCCGGAGCCCTTCTGCAGCATGCGCTCCTTCTTGGAGATGATCAGCCTGGGGGGGACAGGCGCTCACTGAACCCGGGGCCGCTCAGCAGGCAGCGTCTCCCCAGAGGACCCAGCCTCTGTTTTTGGAACCTGGTGCCCCACCCAGTCCGTCCAGATGAGAGTTCCATCCTGGAACAGAGCCCTCTCGGCACGCCCCTGGCCTCCAGGACAGCTCCAGCCTGGCCTGGGCCCTGCCAGCAGACAGCAGCTGGGCCTTCCGCCATCTCCAAATCAACTCCAGCCTGGCGACCTGGTGCCCCTCAGCCACGCAGCCCCTCGCCAGGCCTCCGCCCGGCCACACACCACCGGGCGGTTCCTGCCCGCTCAGCACCCCTGGCCTAGGACCACGCACGTGGTGATCTGCGTCTCCATGAAGATGAGGATGAAGACCAGGATCGCGGGCAGCAGGCTGGCCACCATCATCCACACGGGGAAGGGGCTCCTCTCGCCCAGGGGGTTGATGACCCAGCCCCGCTTCTCCGGGGCCGTCACCGAGAATCCAGTGGGCACACTCAGCTTCTGCAGGACAGAAGGGGCTGGTGAACCTTGGTGCAAGCGCCTTGGGTGAGCTGCACAGGCAGGGTGAGCCCTGAGGATGTGATGTGGAAAAGGCCCGTTGGCCCCGTGAGGAGACGGCTCTGGGGTTGGGGACCGGCCAGGCAGCACATCCCCACGGCTCTGTGCGCCCTGCCTCACCTGGGTGTAGGTGTCCTCGATACTGTAATCCACAAGCACCATGATGAGGATTGCGATGGGCACCCCGAAGTCCCCAATCACCCGCCGTACCTGTGGGCAAGCACGGTGCTCAGACCAGAGGCTTCTCCTCACCCCCTCCCACCCTCGGCCCCCGCCTCCCTCAGGCCCCCGGCCCACGCACCCGGCCAGGGAAGAACCGGCTGTTCTTGAACTTCCGCAGGAAGAAGGCAATGAAGAAGGTGCCGGCCATGAGCACCAGGGACAGCAGGGCTGTGTTGGGCTGGCCCCGGGGCCTCCCCTGCCCAGAGGGCTGGGTTGAGCTCCCATTCCCCGGCTCCAGTGAGGCGCCTGCCCCAGTCCATGTGGTATTATCGCCGCTGTCCACTTCGGAGCTGTTGGAGACCGAACAGCCGTGGAGGGGGTGTTCCTGGAAGATCTGGAGAAAGGACAGCGGCTCCATCAGCAAGATTTCCGGGCTCAGCTACACGCTGAACAAGACAGTGGGTGGGAGGCCAGCCTGCCCCCAAGGAGCTTTCCTTGTTGATTAAGAAATATCCCAGCCCTCATCGGTTTGCTCAGTGGTTAGAGCATTGGCCTGAGCATCAGCCCAAGGACCGAAAAACCTTGGGTTTGATTCGGTCAAGGGCATGTACCTTTATCCCCAGCCCCAGTAGGGGGCACCAATAGATGTGTCTCTTTCACATCAATGTTTCTTTCTCTGTCTCCCCTTCCCTTCCACTCTCTGAAAAATCAATGGAAAAAATATCCTCGGACGAGGATTAACCACAACAAGGAACTATTAGCAAGAAACTAACCCAGAAGACCAGATGCGAGCACAGGAAACCTGAGGACTAAGAGAGGCTGCTCCAACTCAGGAAGGAGCTGGGGGGTGTGGCTCGTCCAGGCCTGGAGGAGCAGGGTATGGAGTGTAGGACTGGGCCTGTCACACACAAGGGTCTGAAGAGCTGACTAGGACCACGTCTGTCCTCTTAGGGCCTTTTTCCTTTCTACATTTCTGGGTTGCTTACCACTTTAACGAAAATGATGACTTGGTTATTAGAAATGTTTTTCAGATGGATGTCAAGCCTGGGTGTGTATTGATGACCCAGCGGGACGTGTGGGAAGGCCAGAGGAAAAACCAGCCCCCACTCTGGGCCCCCTGGAGTGTGGCCGGGGATCTCAGAGCCAGCCTGGCCTCACAGCCCGGAGAGAGAATGAGAGGCACAGACAACCCCTGGCTCCCTCCCGTCCCGAAGCCCCGCACCTTAACCAGCTTGTAGAAGGTCTCGTAGATGAAGATGAGGGAGATGAGGAAGGCGAAGATCTCCTGGGTGAAACGGGAGACGAAACGCACCAGGAAGCTGCCCTCCAGGGCCACCATGAGCAGGGCCAGGAGCACCAGCCAGAAGCCGATCCACACGCGGCCCACCAGGTACTCCAGGTTGTTGCTGTTGCAGAACTGAGGGGCGGGGATGGGGTGAGGTCCAGCCAGGCCCAGAGCCTGTTCCCGAGCAGAGGGGCACCCCGGCAACCCGTGGCCCCTCACCGAGAAGAAGGCCTCCTCGAAGACCAGCAGGGGCCCCGAGAAGCCGATCACCAGCAGAGGCTGGGCGCCCAGCAGGCAGAACACCACGCCCTGGAGCGCCGTGGACATGATCAGCTCCGACACCCCGATCAGGTCCTGCGTCTTCTCTCCTGGGATGGCAGGAACCGGCTCAGGAGCTGGCAGCAGAGCCCTGTGTGCCCCCCCTCCCCCCCTCCCCGAAGCCTCTCCTCACCCAGCAGGCCCCCGAAGGTGATGGCAGGAGACAGGGCTGCGAAGTAAATGAAGATGACCGCGGCCAGGCACTGGGGGTCCAGCGCGTCCCGGAAGTCGCTCAGGTAGTGGGGGTAGCGGCGCCGCACGTCCCGGATCAGCCCCCCGAAGGGACGGCCAGTCCGCCGAAGGGGATCGTCTTCCACCGTGTCCGTCGCCTCTACCATCTGCAGGAGCGCTGCAACCCAGGCCTCCGTCAGGGTGCCGGCCCGCCCCCTCTCCCTGCAGCCCTGCCAACCCGCTCTCCCCGCCAAGGCATGGGCCCCGCTCCGGCCCGCACCGGCCCGTACCCTTATCTTGGGCGGACTTGGGCTCCAGCCCAGCCCCCGGGGGCAGCAGCCGGCCCTGCTCCTCCCGCTTCTTGAGCATCTGGCGCTGGAAGTGAGCGACGGACCGCAGCAGCTCCTCGCCCTGCACCTCGGAGGGCGGCAGCACCACGCTGCAGTCCAGGAAGGCGTTGATGGCCGTCAGCAGGTCCTCCCGTTCGTCCGCCATGTAGGCCGCCTCGTGGAATTGCTGCCAACGCAGGACGGGGGCAGGTGAGGGCGCTGGCCGGGGGCCGGGGCCGGGGCCGGGGCCGGGGCGGGGCCGGGCTCGGGGCCGGGGCTGACCTTGTCGGACATGAGGGTGGAGATGGAGCGGCCGATCTCGTGGTAGTCCATGTTGGCGCTGCGCGGGCCCAGCAGCAGGAAGAGGAAGCGCACGGGCACGGGCACCTCCAGCACCGCGTCCAGCTCCACGGCCTCCCGCAGCCGCACGAAGGCCATGGTGGGCCGCGACAGGAACTCCACGCAGCCTGGGGCGCGATGCCATCGTGGGCGAGGGCAGCAGGGCGCAGCCACTGCCCGGCCCCAGGCCCGGGGGCGGCACCGAGGCAGGCCCGCCGCCAGGACCCCCACCCCCGAGGCTGGCCCCACGTACCCACGAGGACCACCGTGGCCTCGGCATTCTCGGGGATCTTCTCCAGCAGCTTCAGCTCGTGCTTGGACTTGGAGCGGGTGATGCCGGCCGTCGGGGCTGGAGGCGGCAGCTCC